CCACACTGTTAAGTGGCTCCTGACCAGCTATGTAAGAGCTGTGCTGCAGTGAAATACAAACCATCAGGTACTTGCTTTTAGCTCACATTGAGCATATTAAAGGCAAAACAGTGGCTTGAGGTCAGATTTTGTAACTGTTTGGATGTTGGCGGGACCTTGTTCCTACCAGCTTCAAGAGAAGGAGCCTGGGGTGCCCATCCCTCACCTCCTGTCCAGTGAGAGACTTCAAAGGACTGCTGACAGTGCTTGACAGGAGTCATTAGTCAAGGATGGGAACACAATAGGCCATAAAGTTCCAGGCCATGGAATTAAAGAGGGCAAGAGGCAAGTTGTCAAGCCATGGACAGAAAAGTTAAAAAGGAAATGATTATGATCTGTGGCCTTCACTCAAGGCAAAGAATGTCTGAATGCTTCCTTAGGCATGATCTAAGCTCAGTGTAAGAGACAGCTTTGTCCTAGACTATGTAAGAGACTTGTCCTTGTCCAAGAGGGCAGCCTAGAAGAGCACATAGCATCTTACACATATGGCCCTGTAATCCAAGGATCATAGCAATAGTCAGTCTTCATAAAAGCAGAGTAATGGGAGAGCCATAGGGATGAAAGAGGAAGCATTTTCCATAGAATCCACAAAAAATTACCTCGAGAAGTAAAAATAAACATAAAGTCTCTGTGAAGTCTAGAGAGAAATAATGCTAGATCAACATAGTGCTATCAAATAAGCAAAAAAGCAAATCCCCCATGTAAATAATGAGCAAAGACCCAAGTAGACATTTCTCAAAAGAAGATGCACAAATGCCCAAAAGATATATTAAATGTTGCTTAGCATCATTCATCTTTGGTAAATGCAAATTAGAGCCACAATGAGATACCACCTCACAACTCTTAAGAATTACTTAAATCAAAAAGGAAAAAAGAAATGTTTGACAAAAATGTGATGAAAGGGCAGCCCCTTGTACACTATTGGTGGGAATATAAATCAGTGTAGTAATTAAGGAAAACAGTAGAGAAGTACTTCAAATAATTAAAAATAGAACTGCTGTATGACCTAGCAATTCTTCTATAGGGTGTAATCCAAAAAAATTGAAATCAGTATGTCAAAGAGGTATCTGCTTTCCATATTCATTGCAACACTATTCCCAATAATAAAGATAATGGACTCAACCTAGGTATCAGCCAATGGATGAGTGGATAAAGAAAGTGTGGCACATATGCATAAGGGAATACTATTTAGCCTTTAAAAATGATGAAATTCTGTTATGTGCAATAACATGGGTTGACCTGGAGGATATTACGTTCAGTGAGATAAGAAAGATGCAGAAGACAGATACGTAATCACAATCCTATGTAGAATTTTAAAAAGTAAAAATTCTAAAAATAATTGATCTCATAGAAGGAAAGAGTGAAATGAAAGTTATAGAGGCTATAGGTAGGGATCAGAAAATAGGGAGACATTGGTTAGAAGGTATTGTGTTTTAATTAGAAGGAATAAGTTCTGCAAATCTAGTCTACAGCATGGTGACAACAGTTAACATATATACTTAAAAGCTGTTAATAAGAGAGTGAGTTTTAAATGTTCTTATCACAAAAATGTAATAAGTGTGTAAGGTAATATATATGTTAATTGTTTTTATTTAGTAATTCCATGGTGAATACATATATCCCAATATAACATTGTACAACATAAACATATGCACCTTTGTCTATTTAAAAAATAAATAGAAATTCAATTACTTATTAGTTAGCCTCTTATTTTCACAATCTGTTTGAAGTTATGCATAAAATATCATAAAGATCTACCCCAATGAGGAAAAATGCTTTCATTTCCTCTCCTTTATCCCTATTCTCCAACCCCAGAAGGATTAGAAGCCTTGTTTGGTGGTTTGTGGGGAGGGAGGAACAGAAAAGCCAGGTGGAGAATGAAGCCACAGGTGGGTACAGGAGAAGACCCCAGCCTTAAACCCAGCTTGGAGCTTTGCTTGGAGTTTATTATTTGAGATGGACATTTGCAGTAACTTGGCACTCTTGGAACTGCCCAAGCATGAAAAACAAAATTGTAGAAATTGCCTGAATTTTTAAATTCAAGAATAGAGGAAGAAGAATTATCCTACAGAATAAACATTATAATTTTTAATAGAGTTGTATCATGATAGGTAAGTTCATTTGCTTTACTTGGGTTATAAGTTGAGTATCTCATGTCTTTTCCATACTTTGATATTGGAATCTTGGTGATATTCTTGCTGATCTGTGTGGTGTGACACTAAAAAGTTTTGTTATGGACATCAACATTTTCACAGAGACTGCTGCACCTCATAGATGTAATGAAATTAAAGGAATAACCTAGTGCCAGCATTCACTTTCTATTCAATTTCTATTCAATCCAAGATGTGATATAGAAACTTTAACTTTTCCATCTAAATTCTAAGTTTCCTGTAAGCCAAATTCTATGCTTTTATCACACAACTGTTTAAATAAGAGTAGAACATTAGGACTTTTCAAGCTTTCTTTTACATAGTGGCAGAACCTCTTGTGAAATTACCCTACCAAGTTCTCAAAGTTGTCTCATTATAATTTCCTACTGCAGTATATAGATTTAAACTTGGAATTGAAATGAAGTCCTCAATAATAGGAAATATTTAAAATAGAACCACAGAAATGGCTTTTTGTAAATTGACATTTTCAGTATTTGGCAGAGCAGAAACTATTCAAGGGTTGTTTTAAAAGATTCATTCTTTGTATCTGAGCCTACATCCATACATAACACCATATGCAACACTTTTATTGGCCTAATAAGGAAAGATCACTACCAAAACACTTGGCCCCAGCCATAGTTCTGAGTATGCATAAGCAATCTTATTTCTCTGTTCTTTGATGAATTTAGAAATTTGCAATTGAATCCTAATTGGAATCCACTATCTTCTGCTTAGGCCCCCTACCTCACCCACATTTTCCCCAACTCTGGTACTCCCTGTTGATAAAGAATGAAGGTTTTTTTCTGTATTGGCCAGCATACTACAACTGTGTCTGCTCTCAACCGTTGAGGGTTGACCCTTTAACCAAATTTACTCCATCTTCAACAGCATCCAGATTATTCTCTACTCTGCTAAGCTCTACTTTTATCTTTCTGCCTCTTTACCAAAGAATTCAGTAGTTACAAACACTTTATCCTTTGAGTTAGTTTGACTTCTAAATAGCTCCTTCTGACAATGTCCTGTTAATTCATATATTTAGTCATTTCATTCATTCAACAAATATATTTAAAACCTTTACACTATGCCTGATACTTTCTGACCACACTTTTATTGTCTTCCTAGGTAATTTTCTAGTTACATGATAGGATACCATATTACAGAACACCTGCTTTCTTTGTGAGCACTCATCAAAACTGATTTTTTAAAAAAATACCTCTCCCTACTCCTGCTGTGACTTATTATTTACCTACTGAGTTGAGAAGTGTTTACCAAAAGGGCCCTGATTTGGGAAAGAACAAAAGATGACTAGAACTGTGGAGGTGACACAGAGGAGAGCTAGCTGATGAAGGGCTTAGCTGGGCTCAAGATTTGATTAAAGGTAATTCTATGGGAAAGCTGATTTTTTAAAATTAGAGATTATTTAAGAAGATTTAACCTTTTATGAAGAGACACTTTCAGGGATATTGCACATATAGTACAATTTCTTATAGTACCCATTGAGAATATCTTATTATTCTGTTACAGTCACAAAGGCCTCTAGAGAAAGTTCCTTCAGGACTGAGTGTGAACTATGAATAATCAAAATTAACATCCCGTGTTACTTTTGATTTTGAAGTTTGGTTTCTGAAAATTACTAATACTAGTAGAAAATAAAATAAATGGTAAATTGTAGAATGATGTGTTCTGAAACCATACACAGGGTTCTTGCATTTGTAGTTAATGTTAGCATCATGCCATGATTGCCTTGACCTTCATACGAGAAACCTTAGAGGACAAAAACTGAGAAAATAATCACCAACATTTGCATTTTCTGCATATCATTTTTCCTTAGGGATACCAATTGAATTTCTTTATCCAAAACTAAGGCTAATACAGATTAGTGCAAAGGTGTTATTTGTAAGCATCCCCACAGACCTAGCCTTGCAGAAAGTAGTATTTAATATGCCTCAACCAGTGGATTTACTCAGCATCTAGAACAAAGTTTATGTTGAATTTCATTGACTCAAATATCATTTAATGGAAAAAATGGTAAGAATATTCTAGAAATTGAAGCTCTACTGGAAGACCTTGTTTGTCTTGATATCGTAAGAGTCACCAGGCTACCTTGAAGTAACTGAAGAAATTTATTCCAGACATTGCTGCTGTCACCATCCTCTGCTCCCTCTGTCTCCTGTCAAGGCTGCTGCCATGATGGCCTTTATATGGCAGCTGAGGGACAGTTCTCAGGAAAATGGAGCAAGGGGAAGGTATTTTAGCTAGATGAGGTATTTTATTACCCTTTTTTTTCTAGCAACAAAACAACTGATTGATTATTGGCTCTTGTGAAATGAAGCAACGATGATGTCAAGAAGCCATCAGCTTACATTAGCAAGTCCTTGAAGCTGACAGCAGAATCTAAAAACAATTAAATATGACAATAATGCTTCCCTCTTCATATAATTCCTTTTTAAGAAGTAGTTTCATTAGTGTATCTAGATTTTAAGTTTAGCTGATGTCCTTTTTAAAAGGCTTTATCCCCACTTCTTTTTGAGAATGTTGAAATTACAACCATTTAAAGAAATGGTTGCCAAGTTGTTTAAGATGTCTCTTTACTATGACATCATAAATGATACTATGTTTGAACTTCAATAATATTGTTCCACAATTATTTATTTCTGTCTAAAAAAGGCACCATTTTCTATAGAATAGAAAATTACAACTTGGGGGAAAAGTGACAATTGTCTTGGTTTGTAATGATATATTTTTATTTATTTATAGTGCCTCTGTGTTAAGAACCAGGCAAAAATGACTGATTTTGTTCTTTCCTTTCAGCGGTTTACCTCTGCAAGAGAACAATGCAAAACAAAGCAAGACTAGAGCTGGCAGATTATGAAGCTGTAAGTACCAAGGACTTTCTGGAAAAGAAAGGTATAAAAAGAAAGGGAATAAGGGCTCTGGTCATCTCTGGGCACTCCCTTCATTGACTTTCTGCATTTATGAATCGTAAGGATTAATAATCATGGATCAAGCAGCACAATGGCTTTAAAAGTCCTTGTCTTCCTTCCCCACTTCATTCACGTTGAGGATGGTGAGATTCTAAGTACACATTCTCTGTGTAGGAGGGGGAAGCATATTTTATTTTCAGAATTTGACTTAATTATAAAGATTTAAAATAAATACTTCAGTGGCCAGGTGCAGGTGTGGGGCTGTCATCCCAGCTACTCAGGATGCTGAGGCAGAAGAATCACATGTTTGAGTCTAACCTGGGTAACTTAGCAAGACCTTGTCACAAAATAAAAAAATGAAAAGGGCTGGAAGTGTGGCTCAGTGGTGTAGTCCCCTATGTTTAATACCTAGTACTACAATTATTACTGCTACTACTACTTCTACTACTCCTAAAAAAAAGAAATATCCAAACAATGAGAATGAAAATAATTTTTGCTGTGAAACCTTCATGTTGGCCAACATGGGGAAATGCAATAAGTGAGAGTAATTTGGTCAAATGGTTGCCATGTTGTGGTTTGCTGAATTCAATGCATGGTGTAGAAATGGGACCTGGGCTGTGAAAGGTTTGCATTGTTGCCAGGACCTGAATGCACAGATTGAATCAGCAGTATGAATGTATCATTTTCCTGTTCCTCCGTAAGGTGGGCACAGAAAAACCCAGGAGATTGCAATGTCTTTAATACTTTTCTCTATGAGGTAATTTAAGTATTTAGCACCTACTGGGTTCAATATTTGGTATGTAATGGATTTTAGTTGTGTTCTCTAAGGTATATCATTCACAAAAATTAATAATTGTTTCTTTTCCTTCTAAAACTATTTTATTAGTTTTCCCATTGCTGAAGCCAAATACTGGACATATACAATTGAAAGGAAGAAAGGTTTATTTTTGCTCATAGTTCAGAGGATGTACTTCATGGTCTACTGACCCCAAGACAGGAACATCATGGTGGAAAGATAAAGGTGGAGCAAAACCTTAGTTCATGACAGTGTGGAAGCAGAGTCGGGGAACAATGCCAGAGAGGAAGGGCCCAGAGTGACATAGTGCTCAAGGTCACACTCCATGACCCACCCACAAGTGAGCGTTCCAGTCCCTTGGCTCTGAAGCTAGTTACATTGACAATTCAGTTTAACTGTCACAACTGTTAATATGAGGATTAGCTGAATTATTGAGCATACTTGTCATTTAGAACCAGAGGACACTTAGGATGTTAGGAATTCTGTACTTGTTTTCTTCACAAATCCATGTAGTAAGAAAGCTAGCAGAGAGTAGTAAAAAGGAGCACTACAGTGTCTTCACCTGTGGCTTACCTTTCAGGAGAGCCTGGCCAGGCTGCAGAGAGCTTTTGCCCGGAAGTGGGAGTTCATTTTTATGCAAGCGGAAGCTCAAGCAAAGTGAGTCCTTGTGAGTCTTTTGGAAGAATTGTTCACATTACTGCCTTCTATGCAGAGACACTCCACTTACCACTACTTATTCTTGGTTGTTATGATGTTGACAGAGTGGACAAGAAGAGAGACAAAATTGAAAGGAAAATCCTTGATAGCCAAGAGAGAGCATTCTGGGATGTACACAGACCTGTGGTGAGCAAACGCAGCCCTGTTCTCGAAAATCCCTGTTTTCAGTTGTGACAGGTGAGGGTACCCCGGGAGAGCAAGGGAAAGCCTGGGATTCTCCATTGTGCATCCCACACTTTGCGGTGAATGAGTTAAGTAAAGTTTGCCACTTGCAGGGAGATGATCAGACTTCAGTAGTGTTATTTAATGTATAAAACTATGCAGCTTTCTACCATGACATCACTTGCCCACTCAGTTTTGGCATGTGAAGTGCTTGGTGGTGCTAGAAACACTTAAAGGAAAAATACTGAGATAAAGCAGGTTTTGTGGCTGTTTACAGTTTTTGGCTACACGGTGAATGGATAAGTCAAATGTTATTTTTTTCTTTAAAAAAAAAATCTATTAATCACTTATTGGTGACTTTCACAGACTAATATTTTGTGTGGTTTCAAATTCAAATCTGCTTGTACTTTTAATGTTGTAGAATCGGATCTGAATATAATAACTTATTTTTTCTTCCTTGGTAATGTTACATTGTTTGCCTCTGCATGACAAAGACTGAATGCCCTTAATTAATTGATATCAGAAAACTTTACTGGAACCATGATTATGAGCATCTGTAAGGTAGCATGTCTAGCCTCATGTATTTATTTCTATTTTGATGCAGTATCTTTTTATTCTATCAATTTTACATAGACAAGGTAGTAGAGAATAATATTTACATAAATATTACTAGAATAAATAATAAGAAAAATCACTTAAGGATACCTAAAAATTTTTCTCCCAACTACCTTCAGAGTGAGACTAACATAGAAAGACTCCAAAGGTTTGTTTGTATATGTATTTCAATTTCAAATAGCAAAGCATTTGTTAAATTCTATTTTAAATTCACTCTTCAATTTTCAAGACAGAATTGATCACTAACTGGCTCTATCTACTCAAAATTCAGTTCGAGTTTTATTACTTATAGTGAAAAAAGATTATAAAGACACACAAAGCTTTTTCAAGAATATGAACTAGGATTTTTATTTGTGTGTTTGTTTTAAGCAACCTCTAGAAACCAGTCAGTGCACCCTGTTGCCATGTATATCCACATTATGCTTCCTGGGTATCTGGTGGCCCATCTGTAGCCTCATTGAGCTTACCTGACCTGGGCCTTCCTGGGAACCTAAGAGGACTCACAACTCCTCAGCTCCCCTGGCCACTCACTGCCATTCCATACTCAAGCTTTCAGAATGTGAAAACTGCTCACGACTCACCCCCTGCTCCTTTGCCTAGAATGACTCAGCTGGTCCTTTATCCTTTGTGTGGTCCTGGTTTAAACAGAATCTGTCCACAGTCTTTTCTCTCTCTGTAACCTGAGTCAGGCTCCTGTCCTCCCTGTTGGCCATCAGCAAGGAGCACAGTGAGTGTCCTCGAAGTCCCTGCCATGTCCCTTCCAAGGGTTCGAAGTAGGAAGTCAACCCAAGGAAAGCCCAGCTCCAGAAGCCACCTGGAAGCAGTTAGCTGTAGCTCCCTTATTCAGCTTGAAGATGCTTATGAGGAGCCTTATATCATCCACCATGAAGATGATATGCAAGACTATGTTGATTATTTTCCAAAGGTTCTCCAGATTGTCTCTGTGCCTTTGAGAATGGCATTCACTTAAATCAACTCTACCTTCAGCCATTTATTTTTCTTACACTACAACTCCTTGCATTACTTTAGAAGCATTACCTACCAGCAGATTTAAAGTTTAAACATTTTAAAGTGGTCTCAGATATTTGTGAATTATCTGAAGACCATGTCTGCCATGCAGATCCTTTTATCTTGTCTTGAGCCTTCTGAGTCCTTAGTGAGTGATAAATGATAAAAATGATGAAGACAGGGCCCTTAGCCTCAAAAATCTTTCAATGGCTGTTTTCTCAGTCAAATGCATAAGGTATATCTCTCTTCATTGTAGTCAATTAATAAACAATAAGTATTTTTGAAGATAACTACCCACAAAATAGAAGTGGCATAGGGAAAAATAGCAGTATTTGTGATAATTCCCAAGAGTGTTTATGTGTTATGTTCATCTCTAGAAATGAACTCTGCAGCTGCTATAATTAACCCTATATCAATACATTTGGACCTGAAATCCTGTATTGCAGCGTTAAAGTGGAATAAGAATCCCTGTAACTGAGTTTTCTCTTCATATCCTGTCCTGGTGTGGCAGTCATTGAAAGAATCTTTCTGCCCTGTGGTTGTCATCTTGGTAAATTTAAATATCTTCTAGACAGGATCAATGAAACCAGGTTTTGCATTCTAATGCCAGAATATTTCAACTTGAGAAATGTCGAACCCTATTCTATATGCAGGAGAATACAAGACAGGGTCTGCCAGAGCCTATGCCTGCATACCACCCTCTCTTCTGGAGTGCAGGAGATAGTCCTCTTGTGTCATCTTCCAGTTTTCATCATGTCAACCAAAGGCCAGTAGCCATAGCAGATCTGCAAAAAAGTTTGAAGCAGTGTTTGCAGCCAGAAATGTTATAGACTAGGCCTAACTTATATAATTATCTATCTTCTGAGATTCAGAAACCTCATTTAGAAAATGGCATACCTTCTTTGCCATGTTGTGAAAGTTCAGTGAGATTGAATGTATAAAAGCAGCTGGCATATCATTTGGCATGTGGATAAAAAATGTCTACTTCCGTTTTGAAGAGATGCACACAATATCTTCAAAATGGGTAGCACAAGGAAAATGGAATCTAGCTAGATACAGTAAATGAGACACCCACATGTAATCAGTTTCAAAAATGTCTACATATCAAGCAGAATGCAATCGAGATGAATTACAATCTTCCTTTATATTCAGAGGTCTCAACAAAAACAATTCCTAAGGCCACTCCCCTAACAGCTACTCTCTGCCTCCAACTTATAATTCCATTCTTTCTTTTGGGGGCTACCTTGTATGAAATGGGCTGACTTGACCTAAGACAGGTGGTTATCATGGTGCTGATGGCTAATCTATTGACCTTCTCTGAGCTCTTCAGTCTTATTTATGCTTGTATTTTTATTTAGGCCTTCATTTTGGAACTGGCACTTTGCCCCCTAGCTCAAGGTAATGCATGAATTACCACAAGTGGCCTTTCTTGTTGTTTATCAACCAGTGTACCTTGAATGAGCCTGATTGTGTTGACCCTTTAAAAGGACTGTCCATAGAACTTCTTGAGCTGTATAAAAATGATGTTTGTCCTCAGTTTTTTAATTTACGTGCCTCAGTACTGGAGCTACCTGCTCCTAGAATGATTAATGCCTGTTTTCTTGAAAAGCTGAATTGAAACTCATGAAACAGAGCATGTCACCCTTCCTATAATAAGCAGTATCATGTAGGGATACCATTTACTCTGTACTGGTATGTTCCAGACATTGTACTAAGGCCTGGAATTGAAAATGATTAAAACACAGTCCTTATTCCTAAAACTCACAGTACAGTGGAATCATTTTATGGGCATAGTCACCAATGCACCATGAGATATGTATGACTGTGCCAGTTGCTTTATGGGAAGAGAGACAGCTGTTCATGGTATTTTAAATGACTTGGCCATATACACAACTACTGGTGGTGAAGCAAGAGCTAAAGGCAAGGAAATCAGTGTGGAGGTTCCTCAAAAAACTAGGATTAGAGATCCCATTTGACCCACCTATTCCCCTTCTAGGTATCTTCCCAAAGGAATTGAAAGCATCATACCACAGCAACATATGCACACCCATGTTTATAGCAGCACAGTTTATAATAGCTAAATCTTGGAAACAACCCAAATGCCCGTCAGCCAACGAATCAATTAAAAAAAATGTGATTCTTATACACAGTGGAGTACGACTCAGCCAAAAAGAAGAGATAAACCTGAGACAGTTCTAGGTAAATGAATGTACCTTGAGACCATACTCTTAAGTAAAATAAATTGGACACACATATGTAATTATTGCATTGTCTCTCTGATGTAAGAAACTGAAAGCAAGGATCAAAATGTATAATAGATATTGTGAAATAGGAAATTGTTCAAAAGGAAAGAGGAACTGAGGAGGGAGGAGGGGGAAAGAAAAAATGAGAATAGGAGGATAAAATGGAAACAAAGCTTTGTAAATAAGGAAAGGAAGAGGGGCTGAAGGGAAGGAAGAGGAATGAAAAAAAGAAGAATCAAGATAGATAGATAGATAGATAGATAGATAGATAGATAGATAGATGATAGATAGAGAGAATTTCTAGAAAAAAAAAGAGCTAAAAGCTGGAAGTAGTGTGGCTCCAGGCAGAGGAAGGGGCTGCAGCAAGAATGAGCTTGTGGCTGTATGCATTCATCTTTGGGAGGAAATCATAAATACTTAGCTATATTCCACAAATTATATAGCTATTTAGAGGTATATTGTTATATAATTCACTTGTAGTTTTCAAGTATTCTTTTCATTCCATAGGCAATTCTCCAAAGTCCAGATTTCAGGACACCTTTCTGGCACCATGGGCTCTGACCTAGGGATACCCATCACCTTGCAGACAATATCTGTCAGGGGAGGTTATGTAGTCTGCACACTAATGTCAAAGCTTCCTAAAATCTGGGCCAACTCTGAATAATAGGAAAGATGAATTCAGGTAGAGATTGGAAATAATGATACAGAAATAGAGTGGAGGAAAGGCCCTATTTGAATAGAGAATGAGATTAGTAATTTTTAGAGTTCCTCCCAACATTAAGAATTTAGATCACCATCATTTTTTAACCTCAAGACATTAGTTTAGGAATAAATGCATGCTAAATATTCAATGACGACTTCATGAATTAAAATACTTAAGGAGAGAGATGGAAATATATTTCATCAGAATGTTCACAATAAAATAATTATTATCTAGCTCTCCCTGATTTCAAGTTAAGCAAATACTAATTGCAAAATGATAAAAATAGGTGATTTACTTAGGCCTTCTATATCTAATGCGTTTTTATCCTGTATGTTAGCATTTTTTAGTGGTTTCACTGGCATTTCTCAGAGCACTTATTTTAAAATTTGTCAGAC